CTTGGGCCCCCTTGATAGTGTCCTTTGAGGCACAAAATGTTTTAATTTTTATGAAGTCTCATTGGGAGAGGGAGAAGGTAAAGGAGGGGAAGAAGGAGGAGAGGTAAAAGGAAAGAGGAAAGGGTGGGGGGAGAAACCTCCTGCACTAGAAGAGGGATCAAACCTGCAAGACAGGTACATGCCCTTAACCAGGAATCGAACCTGTGATCTTTGGTGAGTGGGGTGATGCTCTAACCACTTAGCAACACTGGGCAGGGCCCCAGTTTTTCTTTACTTCTGGTTTTTAGTTCTTTAGATTTATAGCCCCAAGTGGGGAGTGTACTCTGGATCACCACTAATTTTAAGGCCCTGTTTCTAGTTTTTGATCCTTAAAGATTTTCAAGTTTCCTGCAAATCTTTTAAACATTTCAGCTCTCTCTTCCAGAATTAGCATACGTCCCTAAAGTTTCTGTTCTTTTGTACCTTGGCTTTCTTATTCTTTTTTACCTTATTATTCTTCAATTAAACTTTATATTATCTATTACATAATATATTATATATGTATATACATACGTTTATGTATATATATGCACATATATATCTATACACATACACATGTGTGTAATATATGTTTAATATATTTTTTAAATACTGCATGCCAAACATAGTACTTATAATACTGTTAACAGAAAGAATGTAGAGTTTAGAACAGGGGTGGGCAAACTTTTTGACTCGAGGGCCACAATGGGTTCTTAAACTGGACTGGAGGGCCGGAACAAAAGCATGGATGGAGTGTTTGTGTGAACTAATATAAATTCAAAGTAAACATCATTACATAAAAGGGTACGGTCTTTTTTTTTCAATAGTTTTATTCATTTCAAATGGGCTAGATCCGGCCTGCAGGCCGTAGTTTGCCCACGGCTGGTTTAGAATGATGTTTTTTATACAGAGGAGATTTAAGGTGTCTGGAGAATGAGAAACTTTGGAACACTAGCACTCTGGGTTAGCCTATCTGATTTTATGGGCTGAAAAAATTCAAGAATGAGCTGCAGTTGCTCTAAGAACTTATATACCTCTCAGTCACCCTTATTCCTCAGATGTAGCCCTTTGGTACCCCAAACAAAGATGATGGAGGTTTTCTAGGGCCATCTACCCTAAGTGGGTTCTAAACTCTGATCACTGTCCACCTCAAAAACAGCAATATTATGAAAACACACCTCAGAAAAAAACTTCTTGAATGGAAAAGAACTTCCAAAAATCAGTTCCTCCATTAAAGCAAGAAGTACACTGCAAAAAATGGTCAAAATCCACTTTTTTATAACTACTGATACTAATTGGAGGCTTGAAACAATTTGAAGAGCACTTATTCAATAAAAATGGCTGAGTCTTGGTAAGAACAATGATTTTGAGGTGTTTAAACTTGTTCTATGTACATCCCCTTTTCTTTGAAGTAGTTTTTACACACTGCAGCTTCACTACTATGTTAATGTGAAAATAATCTACCAGTCCCTAGAGGGGGCAGAACAAGTTCAAGGCATTTAAAGAAATACTTGTGTAGTCATTAGCTGAATAAGGTTAAGCACAGGGAGATTTCAGTGGCTATGCACAGTTCAGACTACAGAGATCACAGAATCAGGCCAAGAAATTCAACAAACAAATAAGACTAACAACAATCCTTGGGAGTGGAGATATAATTTACAGAGTTGCCACATTATACTAAAAATGTCCAGTTTCCAATAAAAATTTTTGAGGCACGCCAACAAAGTATAGTCCATACACGTGAAAAAAAAATTGTCACCAATGTTAGTTTTACTAGACAAGTACTCTAAACCAACTATTTTATTTAATGTATTTATTTACTTAATTTTTGTTAATCTTTTCATTATTCCCTCCATGAGTGTGTACTCACACGCAACATGAGTGGGGTCAAGGAAAGTCTTGTTAGATATTTTCCCCTTCTCTATGGATTCTAGAGAAGGGGATGGGGTGGGAAGAATGCAGACATAACAATAACTTTTCTAGTCCTTTGAAAATGTCTTTCACTAGCTAAACCAACCAGAAGCCAGGCAAGAAAGCCAATGATATAGTCAGTATGGACCAACCTTCCAGTCACAGAGCAGGGTGAGAAGAGGTTAAGAGGAGATCTAGAAGAGCAAATAGAAAAAATTCCATAGTTTTTCTTCAAAACAAAAATCACTATGTTCTAAAGGTTAAGAAAAAAGAAAAAAAAAGTTTAAGAAATTCAAGAATAATGATGAGAGAAAAGTATGAGGCAGAATAGCAAAAAGCTAGGAATATTCCTTGGCAAGTGGAATGGGGAAACTGAGATAGCCGAACAAACTGGAAGAACAATTTACTGCCAGATCCAGGTCACTAGGGTGGAAAGCCCTGGGTGCCTACCAACAGACCAAACTGGCTCCAGATCTTGCCCCCAGATGGTCTTTCCTCCACTGGCATTAAAAAAAAAAAAAAGACACATAAAAAAACAAAAAACTAGCAAAAAACCCACGATACTTTTCATTGTTTTTCTCCACATGAGTATAACACTCTCTCCTACCTGATGCAGTGGTTCTCGGATCAGGACTACAACTGCAGGTGTCAGAAGCTGGGCATGTACTCATTTGCTAGAGCTGCTGTAATGAAGTACCACTAACTGGGTGGCTTAAACAAAGAAATGTACCATCACCCAGGCCTGGAGGTTAGAAGTCCAAACTCAAGGCGTTGGTAGGGTTGGTTCCTTCTGAAGCTTGTGAGAGTCTTTTCAGACTCCCTCCTAGCTCCTGGTTGCCACAGGTGTTCCTTAGCTTGTAGACTGTGATCTCGCTGTGCCTCACATTGTCTTTATTCTATGTGTGTTTGTCTCTGTGTCAAAATCTCTCTTCATAAGAACACAGTCATATGGATTAGGGCCCTCTCTAATGACCTCATCTTAATTGGATCATCTGTAACGACCCTAATTCCAAATAAGGTTACATTCACTGGTATGACTTCAACATCTTTTGGGGTGGGGGCACAATTCAACCCACAACAATCTCTAAACAGGAAATTATCTATACTAATAAAAGGGTAATATGCTAATTAGACTGGACATCTTCCAGACATCCTTCCGGACAAATCCATGGTGGCGGGGGCAAGGCAGAGGCAGTTAGGGGCAACTGGGCCAGCAGGGGAGGGCAGTTAGGGGCGACCGGGCTGGCAGGCAGAGGACGTTAGGAGTGATCAGGCAGGCAGGGGAAAAGTCAGGGGCAATCAGGCCAGTAGGGGAGCAGGTAAGGGCGATCAGGTAGGGAAGCAGAGGCAGTTAGGGGTGATCAGCCAGGCAGGCAGAGAGGTCAGGGGTGATCAGGCAGGCAGGCAGAGGCAGTTAGGGGCAATCAGGCAGGCAGAGGAGCAGTTAGGAGCCAGTGGTCCTGGATTGCGAGAGGGATGTCCGACTGCTGTTTTAGGCCCGATCCCACAGTTGGACATCCCCTAAGGGGTCCTGGATTGGAGAGGGTGCAGGCCAGGTAAGGGACCCCTCCTCTTCACTCCATGCATGAATTTTGTGCACTGGGCCTCTAGTATTTTAAAATATTTATGTTAGAGTTCCTAAGGGTCTGATGGTATTTTCACCTTCTCTGGCAAAACTGAGGTTTGCTGGGTCTCCAAATGTTAGTAATATTCAGAATGAAACTACTCAACAAATAGAATGCAGTGGAACTGATACTGCATGACTTTCCAGGTTGAGGTATAAAAGGCGACATGACTTGCACCTGTTCTTTCAGTTTCTTGGAACACTCATGGCTTGAACCCAGATATTCGGCTAAATAAGTCCAAATTAGCAGATGTGGAAAGACCACAGGAGGAGGCCCACATGGAGAGGGACTGGAGCCCACTAGGCCCTGTCCAACTGCCTGACCATGAATGCCATAAATGCTCACTGCATGTCACTAAGTTTTACAGTAATTTGTAACATAGCCATCAAAAACCAAACAGTGCTCAAGTAATTTACAACCCAGAGGGAAAGTTACATAAGGATCCAAGTAATTAATATAAGGCAGGATGTGCTAATTACTACACAGAATATAAACTAAGGGCCTTGGGAGAGAAACATATAAAGATATAAGTCTAGCTAAGGGCTGGAGCAGTGGGGGGCAAAGGGAAAGGCGGAACAGAAGTAACTTTCAAGCATGGGCCTACAAGACAGACAGAACTTTGAAGGAAAAGCAATCACACAAGAAAAAGGAAAGTGTGGTAGAACCTGGTGGCAAAGTGACATATCACATGGACCTCCTTAGAGACAAAAATTCAACTTATTTTCTACATAACCTCCACTCAATCCTAAAACAGTATCAAACTGTTTGAGGGACACCATAAGAAATGTTACTCTAAAAAAAACCTAGGTAGAGTTCTAGAGACTGACTTTAATCACATGAAAATTTTAAATTTCTTGCTGGTTAATCTTCATACAAAGGGCTAACTCTGACCTTAGCAAATGAAAGTTACTTTATCAATGCTTCCTTTGATGTATTGGCCAAGGAAAAACCCAGTATTTTGCTTGTTCATTTCCATGACCCTATATCAGCTTAATGATAGCAATTCTCCATGGTTAGCATTCCTTTGAGTTCTAGGGGTGATTTAGAGGGAGGCATTTGTCTTGAACCAAAATGAAAAGAGCCAGCAGCGCCTAATGACAGCCATAAAGCTGAGTAAAGTCATATACTACTTTATTGCTGATATTTACTCTGTTTCCCTGATAAGGGCATGAAGTTGATGTCTATAGGCTTCGGGCTGACAACCTGGGAAATAATCATTACTTACCAAACCAATTCAGAGATTTAGCTCTTTAAGCTGCTGTGTACAAGCAGCAGCCTGAAGGCAGTCCTGTTAAGCTACCTGTTCAGCATGACTAACTCTTCAGTCTGTTCAAGAGACTCACCTTCAATGTGGGATTCCCTTCTACTAAGTCAGACCTCCTCTTAAAATGCTCAGGTAGGCAGTCCTTCAAAATCCCGAAACTTTAGAACTGACATTCTCCTCACCTCATAAAACTTTTTTAAGGAGCCCACGAGGCACAGCTTCAGGCTATCCACAATCTCTTGATGAGGCATCTGGAATACTACTCTCGAATACCATTTTGTGAGGGTGCTAGGATGGAGGCAGTAAGAAAAAGAGAAGAGGATAAACACACTCACAGAGGAAGGCCCACAGGCTGAATGATAGCCCACACAGGCTTCAACGCACCAATCCAACACCAAGTAGTAAATGCATTTATGTTACATGTAAAAACACAAAGTGATGTGAGGGAAAATATAGGTATAATTGTGAATATTTGCTACAAAACTGCTGCCAGTTGAAAAAGTGAGACAACATAGATATCCATCAACTGAGAACTAGTTAAGTAAATAGTGCTGTGGCATACAATAAATAAACTCCATACAACAGTTAAAGAGAACTTACTTTTATTGATGGGACACTGTCCAAGATACACAGTTTAAGTACAAATATCAAGCTGAGGAAGAGTACACATAGTATTATGCCATTTGTATATACATATATACAGCACCTATGTGTGTTAGTTAGTATATGCATAGAAGAGAATATGAAAGTATATATACATCAAACCTTAGGTAATGGTTGAAAGAAGATGAACCATGAAAAACTCACTTTCCAAATTTCTACAGATATTTGCACAACCATGCCTTATTTTTACAATCAAAAAAAATAAATAAAAACTCCCCTCATTTCTGGAGTTAAAAGATAATCTCCGATAAGACACAGTCCTCATTCTGAAGGAGATGCTGTAGCCAGGAAACAAACTTACACATATGACAAGTTTGGTAAATAGACTGTGTAAACTAATTTCACAGGAAGATAGAGGAGGAAGGGCTTGACTGTACTTTTATGTATTAAGTAAAAGACAATATACTTTACTATAATATAAAATACTAAAAAAACATTTGCTGTATTTATAATAAGATTAGGTATCAAAATGATACAACCAAACGAAATGGCACAATGAAGAGTACTTACAGGTTGATGCTTGCCACGAAGCCAACCACGGAGCGCATTCCTTTGCCGGGATCATGGTAAACATCCATCCCGACTACCATTAACTGTTTCTGTGTTAGAAAACAAAAAACTAATCAAAAAACCCCAAGTGATCCATTCAACCCATATTTAATTATTATTTGAACCTTAAAGCAACATATGAAAATAAATTCTGGGAAATGAAGAGAAAGACCAGGAATCAGCAAATGTTTTCTGTAAACGGCTACAGAGTGAATGAATGTCTTAGGCTTTGTGAGCCACATGGTCTCTGAAGGAACTATTCAATTCTGCCATCACAGCATGACAGAAGTCACAGATAATATGTAAAGAAATATGATATGTTCCAATAACAGTGTATTTAAGAATGCTGACAACTGAACTTCACATAATTTTATTTTTTAATCCTCACCCAAGGATATTTTTCCATTGATTTTTTAGAGAGAGTGAAAGACAGGGAGAAATATCGATGTGAGAGAAACACATCGATTGGTTGTCACCTGCACGAGCCCTGATTAGGGCCCAGGCAAGGGAGGAGCCTGCAACAATGTACGTGCCCTTGACCGGAATCAAACCCAACCCTTTGGTCTGCAGGCCGACGCTCTATCCACTGAGTCAAATCAGCTAGGGAAAACTTCACATAATTTTCATGTGTCAGAAAATATTAGCCTTATTTTTGTTTCACCATTAAAAACTGCAAAAACCATTCTTAGCTCATGGGCTATACAAAAAGAGGCAATGAACCATTCAGACCACTAAGCACTGAAAGCAGGGCTAACTCTATGAGAAAAATAGCTAGGCAGGTTGAACTGAATGAAGATATATATCAGCATCACTCACCAGAGGAATATCTACTCCCCAGAGCTCACCACCCAATTTACAGTTAATCTGCAGTAAAATTTTCTGGGCCACACTCCGAAGCTTGGTGGGCTGACCAATAGTTCGGACATTGATGACCTACAAAAAAGGGTCCAAAAAAAGTATGGGGAAAGAGAACACTATCAACCTCTCAGAAAATGTAAATAATTCAAAGTCTAAAACACTTTGTATTAATAGTTCTAATTTTAGAGTTTCTTGGCAGGCGCGCGCGCGCGCGCACACACACACACACACACACACACACACACACATCTTTCAAAAGATCTCATGCAGAGTAAAATTTTTTTTTCAATCTCCGTGGGAGAACAGCTTTTCCCTCTTTTTTAAAAAATCCTCACTCAAGGATATGTTTTACTGGTTTTAGAGAGAGGGGGAGGGGCAGAGAGAGAGAGAAATATCGATCTATGAGAGAGACACTGATTGGTTGCCTCCCATATGTGCCCCCACTGGGGATGGAACCCACAACCTAGGTATGTGCCCTGACTGGGAATTGAACTGACCACCTTTCAGTGCATGGAACAGTGCATCAACCCACTGAACCACACTGGCCAAGGCAGCTTTCCCCTCTTTGAGTGAAGCCTGTACTCTCAGAACCCAATCATGTGAAAGCACCTGGAGACTCACCCTTGACACAAGCAAAAGCACTCATTGGGAATATGAAAGCAACATTTATGAAGAGCATCTGCTATTCTCCAGGTTACTCTAATGAAGGGCAGGCTTTGTAGGAGGGCATTCACATGCTACCTTCTAATAGTTGCTTTAAGTCTTTTTGTACACACATGTATGTATCCCTTTTTTCCAAGCCTCAAGGGAAGCTTGTTTCCATCTCTGCCACCCGCCCAGCTCCCACTCACCTGTGAAGGCACTGGAGCTTGCACACAGCACAGCTTTTTAATGGCCCCATAGAGATCATCACGTGTGCCCATGATGATGCACACAACCATCTGTATCTTCCCCTTGAGGAGATAAAGTATATGTTAAGTTTGGCTTGGGAACTTTGACAGGGCTCCAGTCAGAGGCAGTTTGAGAGTCTGCAAGGCCAAGGCACCTTTAAGGTAGAGAGGGGACTGAAACAAGGATGGTGGACATTCTACAACAGAAATGGGTCCTTGAACCCGAATGTTGGGTCCAGGGGTTCTTTGCATAAACATGTAATATGTTACCAAAAATTATCAAAAGCTGATTACCTCATTTATTTATTAGGAGACTTAAGATGCCTAGAAAAGGACCAGACTTGAATACATGCAAGGATTACTTATAATTTGCTATTTTCAATTCTCTGTAATATGTTTACCACTTTCTTTAGTAAACTAAGCACTTTACTAGTATTACATTCATACCACAGAGCTTTAACTGAGAACACATGGAATGCAATACCACAAGAAACAATTCAGGGCCAAATGCAGATGGAAATGAAGCTACTGCCAAACCCATAAGTAGCACTCACTTGCTCGCGCTCTCTCTCTCTCTCTCTCTCTCTCTCTCTCTCTCTCTCTCTTGTTAGGAGAGAGAATGATTTTACCAGCAGCACATCTCCAATCAGCACCCTCTATTCCTCACTGCTTTAGAGATCCAGTATTTAAAACAGAGGATCTTTTGCCCAGATGGCGTGGCTCAGTGGTTGAGCATGGACATAGGAACCAGAAGGTCTTGGTTCGATTCCCAGTCAGGGCATATGCCCTGATTGCAGGCTCGATCTCCAGTAGGGGGTATGCAAGAGGCAACCAATCGATGATTATCTCTCATCATTGATGTTTCTATCTCTCTCCCCTCTCGCTTTCTCTCTCAAATCAATAAAAGTATATTTTAAAAAACGCAGAGGATCTTTCGAAGTCTGAATAAAGAAAAGTAGCACTCCAGTGAAATAAATTTGCCAATCTTTTATAGCAGAAATGGCTATAAATGGTGAATCAATACTATTCTATTCCAAATCAAGATTCGTGTTAGATTAAGACTTCTCGCCCTAACTGGTTTGGCTCAGTGGATAGAGCGTCAGCCTGCGGAGTGGGCCCCAGGTCCAATTCCAGTCAAGGGCATGTACTTTGGTTGCGGTCACATCCCCAATGGGGGGTGTGCAAGAGGTGGCTGATCAATGTTTCTCATCGATGTTTCTAACTCTATCCCTCTCCCTTCCTCTCTGTAAAATATCAATAAAATATATATTTTTTTAAAAAAAGACTTCTCAGAGGACGTTCTAGCCATCACATCAAAGAACTTCCAAAGTCATGTAGAACACAGGCTGCACATAGGGAGCCTATGGGCAGAATCTAGCCCAGCCGTGGGCAAACTACGGCCGACGGGCCGGATCCGGCCCGTTTGAAATTAATAAAACTAAAAAAAAAAGACCGTACCCTTTTATGTAATGATGTTTACTTTGAATTTATATTAGTTCACACAAACACTCCATCCATGCTTTTGTTCCGGCCCTCCGGTCCAGTTTAAGAACCCATTGTGATCCTCGAGTCAAAAAGTTTGCCCACCCCTGATCTAGCCAATAGATGTAGTTTTTCAGTCCTTATAATGATTTGTAAGTTTTCATGTTATTCACATTTAAACATAGGGAGATCCACACATATGCAAATCTAGATTTTTGGCTTCTACTAAAAACAAATTAAAGATCAATTTGACAATGCTGGGCTTTTTTTTTTATCTGCAGTTATGGGGTTTACTCTTTTTGGTTCATTACAGTCCCATCCTGGCCCACTCCACTCATCTGTGTTACTCATCTGGCTCCAGTAGACATCTGAGTTTGTGACCTCTAACGAAGAGAATAAAAAAACAGAATGCCATAAAGATTACAGAGAGACAGTAAGACCATTATGAGTTAAATCAGGTAAACACTATGAATGAAACGCAGATCCATGCTGCATGAAAGCTGTTGGCAATACACACTCAGGAAGAGAATACGAGAAGTTGTGAAATGAGGGAGTTGATGTACTAAACTGAGGTGGGGTTTTTTGTTGTTGTTGTTTTTAAAGCAGAGCAGACTTTATCAATCACCAGGCCTGGAGGGAGGGAGGCCACAGCAGAGTACATAGGCATGGAAAGTCAGGAGGAAATTAATATAATTCTGGTATTAATCCCACAAGAACCGATCTTTAAGGACTAATTACTGCCAAAATCTTTCCTCTGCTTTTGTTTCCTCCTTGATATTCTTCGTTTTATGTACATACAGATAAGAGCTGCAGGCCTGAACTACTGAGATGGGAGGACTATGACCTGCTCAGCTCCAGTGATCCTGATCCACTATCAGCATGGAGCTAATGGGCCATCTGCCAAGTTCATCACCAGAGCAATTTGACGCTAGAGCCAGACCAGACTGGAACAGCTCAGTATTGAATCGTGCAAGATGGCACCTGGGCCAAGAAGTTGCTTTCTGAGCACGACATGTTCTATATAGATAACGAACTAAAGTTAAGTCAGCTACTCTGAGTCAACTATGTGATGAACAGAACACTAGAGTGAGTGAGAGTGCCAACATAAAATAAGAAAAGCAAAATTAACTGAAGGACATAAAAGCTATTTTCTCTTCTTTCTTTCTTTTTTTACTGATTTTTTTTTTTTCTTTTTAGAGAGAAAGGGAGAGGGAGAGAAACATAGATGTTAAAGCAAAACATGGATCAGCTGCCTCCTGCATGCCCCTTACCGGGGGTCAAACCCACACTCAAACCAGCAACCTTTTGGTGCACGGGACAACATCCAACCAACTGAGCCACACCAGTCAGGGCAAGACTATTTTCTTAGTTCAGTATTTCATGTGCAGATAAATAAGACACAGGTTTCTGAACAGCATCAACAGCTAATTGATAACCCAGGTTATTTAAAATCAAGTATTCAAAGTGTTTTTAGAACATTCATTCTATAAATCTACTCAAATTAAATTAATTTATTACCTCAGCTCTCAACATGGATTGAATGGTTCTGACATAGGTCTCTATTCGATCGTCCTTTAGTTCAACCCAGGCTGGAGGGCTCATGCGCATGCCAATGGGGCCAGCTACCTTCTCTAACATGTTAACCAGTTCTTGGGCCTGGTCCATTGCTCTCTTTGGGTAAAAGAGTGCCCAGAAATGCATGGGGACCTAGGAAGAACCACAAGCTGCTTTTAGTACTTCCCATAACTTGAACACTCCAGACTCGTATCTCGAAAATGTTATTAGAAAATAAATTGCTTTTTACTCTCTCAGTTTGAGTCCTGCCTTACCTACTTCCTATTACTAACACAGATGTGTGTGATAAGTAAATTGGGGCATAGAATACTATAATATACAGCAATGAGAATTGTAGCTCTACAACCATACCTAATAATAGGGTAAAACTCACTAATACAAGGTTGAAGAAATAAAGCTGGACATACAAGAATGTTTACTGTATGATTTCAAACAGCTGAAACAAATCTATGTTGTGAGAAGCCAGGGTAGTGGCTATTCTTGGAGTGTGTAAGGTGAGAGGTAGATAGTAACTAGGAGCATGGATGGGTGCTTCAGGGCACTGGTAAAGTTGTGTTTCTTAACCCTTGGTGTGGATCATTCAGGCCTATTTAATTTGTGAAAATTCATCAGCTATACACTTGAAAGTGTAGTTTTTTCTTTAAATATATTATATTTCAATGAAAAGTTTTAGAAACAGATGTGTACTTTTTGTGTGGCTATAAAGACCAAGTTAGCGGAAACATTTCAAAATAATTATATACCATTTTGTTCTTTGGTTATCTTAGTAGGAAACTTTAAATTTTGCTTATTTCACAAATGAAAACACCTTCCAGGAACCCCCAGGGAAAAAGAGGGGGAGGGAAGAAAGGAAGAGTGAGTGGTAGGCTGGTGCTATATGCAATTTATTTTCTTTTCCGAAATCCATGATAAAACAAAGGGCTTACTTCCAACAACTCATCTAACAAAATAGCTTACTCTCTTTGAAGGACTCTGTTTAGTAGATAATTAAGAATGGGAATTCAGCTGAAACTTTCTCTCAAAAAGAGGACACTAAACCATTCCTCCTTCCTAATTTCCACCATTTTAGGAATACTGGTCTTCTCTTTACCACCCTGAAAATCACTCACAGTCAAGATGGGAAGGTCTCTGGTTATTTCCTTAATCCAGTTTACTTCCTGAGATGTGATAAATGAAGTATTTCTTAAGTTAATTCTTTCCATTGGCAGAACACGTCCTTCAATCTAAACAGAAAAGAAAGTACCTAAGACATGAGCCATCTGCAAACACTATTTAGGAAAACACATTATTCTCTCTGGGGTCTGGTCAGCTCCACAACATAAACTTGCCCGTTACAACTTCTGGAAATGGCAGAAAAATGAAACTGCTAACAGTGGGAGTCCATGTCAATAAAAACCCTGGACATATGCAGGTAAAATTTTTACAGGCACTCCTCTTTAGTTATTGAAGCTTCCAACATGGTTTCCTAATAAAGGGATTAGAAAACATTATATTTTTAGAAGCAGAGTATGCATGCAAAACTACTATAATTTTAAAGTGCACAGGAGAATATTAAAATATATTTTAAGGGGAAAATTGAAAGTAGAAAATTAAAGGTAAAGCCCAGCCAGCATGGCTCAGTGGTTGAGTGACTTATGAACCAGAAGGTCACGGGTTCGATTCCCAGTCAGGGCACATGCCCAGGTTGCAGGCTTGATCCCTAGTGTGGGTCATGCAGGAGGCAGCCAATCAATGATTCTCTCTCATCATTGATGTTTCTATCTCTCTCTCCCTTTCTGAAATCAATAAAAATATATTTTAAAAAAAGAAAAATTAAAGGTAAAGTTTCTTAAAAATGATGAACATAATCTACTATTCTACTTTATACAAAGAAAAAGCTGAAAGGAAAAGGCATAAACATAATGAAAGAACAAATTAAAGTGAAGAATAACAAATCAGTTTCACCTAAATATCCCTAAATAGGAAGATAACTAGGTTGATGACATATCAGTATGATGGACTATTTTGCAACCTTAAAATCACTTTTTAACTACATGTAATATAATCCTGTTTTTGCAAAAACAAAAAAAATAAAGTGCAAGATACACATCATAGAAAATTGAACGAGCCCACACTCAGTAGTGATTATCTCTAGGGAAGTGTAATTATGGGGGATTTTTAATTCGTATAACCTTTACTGTTTACTTTTTTTTAAGAATGTATTTTATCTATGATTAAAAAAATTAACTTTGAACACAATGAATAACAATACTACTATTAGCAAGGGTGTAAAGAACCAGACTCATTTATGCTTATGAAAGTAATTTGGACTGGAAAACTGAAAATTAGATAAAATTTAAGTCAATATTCCTTTGCTACCTAACTGACTAGAAATTAACAGCAAGAGCTCCAAAATAAAGATAAGACAGGAAGTTATCACTTAGTCTCACAAAGTTCTGAAATCCTTATTTTCCTACCCTGTCACATCTTCTGGGTTACCTTATGTACATCATCCTGCAGATAGAGTCCCCAACGTGTTAGTTCATTATTGGCTGTCTCATTCTTTGAAATTCTCTGTATCAAGCATTTCAAAGCTTTATGGTGCTGTTTGGGGCTCAGGTTGATCTGCTGGGTCAAATCCTAAATAAAATTAAAATGGATATAATTAGTTGTATTACTTTCTTCAATATGAGGTTAAATAAATCCCAATGAGTCTTAAATGTTTCCATAAGAAACCTGCTTCACATTGAAATCTGTAGAAATTTTCAAATATTTTTAAGGACTTTTTATCAGCTGCCTCCTGCACATCTCCTACTGGGGATGTTCTTACAACCCAGGCACATGCCCTTGCCCGGAGTCTTAAACGTGTCCCCAAGAAACCTGCTTCACATTGAAATCTGTAGAAATTTTCAAATATTTTTAAGGACTTTTTAATAAATACTCTCAGGAATGTCAATAAAGTATAAGATTAAATATTTAAATCATAAAAGAATTTTAAATGTTATTGTTTCTTTCTCCCTCATGGCATCTAAGTCTTATCTCTTTTTTAAAGCTATGTTCTGAATTTAAGATTCCTAAAAGATTCTATGAAATAGGAGCAAAGGGGCTTGATTTTACCTATTTAACATTTGGGGGAAAATGCTCTGTGCCAGGCACGCAGCTCAACGTAACAAAATGAAAGACCAGCCCTTCAATGTCAACATTTTTTTTTGTTGTTAAGAGGTTAGTTCAGGGTAGTTGCTTTCTAAATATTTATTGTTGAATGAATATCTAACAAATGTGTATGAAGATTCTGAATCACATACGTGAGTTCGTTCTTTATTCTTCTGAGACTTATAAATTATACAGCTGTTGTTCCCTGGGAGGCAGTCAGGGTCAGTAAGTCTATGGAACTATATAGATAGCTTTGTGATTATAAAGTCATTAGGTAACTGGGAGTTGTAAGGAAGGAACCTTGACCCACATATTAAAAGCACAAGTATCAGAAGGTAAACAAAAAAGAAACTCCTACATGAATTTAAGCATCACTTCAGATACTTTATGACAGTGGTTCTCAACCTTCTGGACCTTTAAATACAGTTCCTCATGTTGTGACCCAACCATAAAATTATTTTTGTTGCTATTTCATAACTGTAATGTTGCTACTGTTATGAATTGTAATGTAAATATCTGATATGCAGGATGGTCTTAGGCGACCCCCGTGAAAGGGTCGTTCGACCACCAAAGGGGTCGCGACCCACAGGTTGAGAACCGCTGCTTTATGATGTTACTAAAAATAGATGTGGCATCTGAGAAAAACAAGGTCCCAGGATAAGACAGACATGGATTGGCAAAGGGAGCAGCGGAGTATCTCAAGTGTGGGAAGTCCCAGGAGTCACAGAGTGTGGAGGTGAAGCACTCAGAGTCTGGACTCATCTTTGCTCCTATTTCCTATAGAAACTGAGCCTAAAACTTCCAGGATACTCCCAGGCCCCACAAGACAAACTTGTCCTTTTACCTCATCCTCTGACTTGCTGACCATTTCCTACATTATCTCCTCCATCCCTTCAAATAAACTCAAGGTTTATAGAAATGTTTTTAAAAAAATGTAGTGCTCCCAAAGAATCTCATTTATGATCAAATGACCAGTCTGTAGTCATCTATCTGCTTGGTAAGAGTGAATTATGTTTCCTTTTCACCTTATTTCTGGTCACTCTACTGTTCTGATAACCTTCAAAAGGAAGTTCTGATTGGCTTGTCCAGTGTGTGAGAAGGGAGACGGATGGATCATGTTTTACAGAGAGGAAAACTGAAGCTTGGAAGAATGAACCCGCCCAGGTAGAGATTCAAGCCTAGCACAGTTCTAGCTCAATCTTTCCTGAAAGGGTCTCCCACGCAGAGCGGGCATTTCTCACCTTCATGGCCCTGAAGTCCTTCTTCATCCTCTCGGGGATTCCGGTCATGAAGGAGAGCTCAGGCAGCAGCAGGATCTCACCTTTCAGCAGCTGTGAGTAGAGGACAGAGAGGGAAAGTAAGGCAGGAAAAGAGGGTCCTGTTCTCTGGCCTGTACAGGACATGCTATCCCCAGTGCTGGTCCTGCAGGGCTCTCACTGGCAAACTAAAGAATATAAAACCCCAAAGGACAGTGAAACACTGTAGGTACTTTACCCTTTTACCTTCAGTCACAATACTCATAGCTATTGTATTAGGTAAAGGGAAAAATATTGAAGGTGTCAAAAGAAGAGCAAGAACTAGAAAAAAAATTTTTTTTGACCCTCTTGAGCTTCCAGACAAGCCAAGACAACACATTCTATCAAGCTGGTGCCTCCACCTTATCTTAGCCTGTCAACCTTCAGCACTCACACTTAAAACAGAAGAGTCAGGTGTCAAGGCACTTTGCTCTGGCCCCAGCCCTCTAAAATGTCTAAAACTTTCCTAATGAATCCAGTGTTTTAATCTTCTTTTGCAACAAATTCTCCTGATTGCATAATCTAATTAGCTCATATGAATATTCAACTTCTCATGTAAATCTCAAATGCAAATCCTATGGAGGTGGCAAGAAGACACAGACAAAACTCTGCAACAGCTTTCCCCAAGCACACTGTAACCATTGCTACTGGGCTCCTAGGGCTGTGGAGAGGCCAAAAGCGGCTGCTGATGGACACCCCGCACTCACCATCCCTTGGTTATTCTGTCTCTCACTGGGCCTGTGGATCAACAGTGGCTGGTCCTCTTCCTTAATTGTAATTCCATAGTTTTTGCTACAGGACAAAAGCAGGAAAAAATTTCAGAAGCAGTATCACTACTCTTATAGCAACATAATCTGAATCTCTTAAAACCAGGACTGAGGTACAAATTTGCCTAATACCCTTGTCAAGGGCCCATTGGAAACTCATCATAGCGTACTTATATAACTGGAAAAAGCAGGTTCAAATTATTGTTGCAATTAAACAGAGGAGAAACAGGTTAATGGTCAAGGAAAGACTGTTTAAAACTGCATCAGGTTAAAGGGCTTAGGCAACTAGAAAGGCAAAATGATAGTCGAATGATTAATGACTTGCATTTAATCTCTCCAAGCAGACTTCTAACCAAACCAGCAAAGGAAATACAATCCAAATCCATGAGATTAATTTATGAAGTAATTTCCAAAAGCACTAAAAGGAATGAAAACTGTAAGGGTTGCCTATTCAGGTCGAGTCCCGCAAAGGAGTTAATTCATTCTTATGCGCATTACCAATATAATTATTTTAAAAGTATCCCATTGTATGCCACTATGGAACTCAATATCCTGCTATAGAATGGCAGACTATGTCCCCCGCCCAACCACGCCCTGTCTATTCTCTCTACCTGTAGTATTCCAAGAACGTGATCTCCTTCCCATCAGACATTGTGAAGCTATCTTTTGGAGTCTTATTCCAATCGACATCATCAATCCGATAGGTACGGTTGTTGTATCGGGTTATGACAATATTGCCAACCAGAAGCTTGGTGCACTCATCCTGGAAGTTTTCTTTGTTCTGCTGATACATGGCATGCCTTTGGAAAGAAACAAAAGACGTTTGGATCACTTTTGTATACACAAAGCAATATGAAAGGGATTGGTGATACAAATAAGTACTTTAGAGGTACACTCACAGCTATATAGCACCAAAAGGCTCCAGTTGTCTCTTTAAAGAGATAGGAACTCAACTCTTTTAACATTAAAAAAACAAACAAACAAATAAAAACAATCAACAAAAAATAGCGAAAGGATAAAAATCAACTAAAAAACAGCAACTACAAATGAATAAAATTCACTGTATTCTTAAAACAGGTGGGGAATGCCCAGCCTGCAGGCTGTATAAGGCCCAAGAAATCACTTGGTCGGGCCCTACCAAGGCATCAGGGGTGATTTAATTAAATATTTGACCAAATTCAGCAGGCGAACTGTTAAGTTGATACTTTTGTATGGCCCGTGAATGATGTTATAAATATCCAAATGGCCCATGGCAAAAAAAAAAGGTCCCCGACCCCTGCCTTAAAATAAGATACTTAAGACATCAAAATAATCATTCTTATGTATCATCATTATTAGGGACAATAAAACATTTCTTAAACTATATTTGTCCTTCTAGCTGAAGGAAGAAACTAGAGTATCTGGTGAAGATGCTAAAGATGCAGAGATGAAAAGACTCACCATAAACACATGTACCCTTGCGGTAATCTCTCTAATGGTGCTTAAGCAAGGCCACACAGGAAATTTGCAGAAAGCATGTCTGAATATGCCTAGGGAGTCAGGAGAGTTTACAGAGGCAGCTGATACCTGCGGGAGCAATGTGCTAGGCAGAACCACCAGGACAGAGGTGTGAGTGACACTCCAGGCAGAGGCAGTGGTGTGTAGAGGCAATCAGGGATCTTCGACAGGGGAGAGTGAGTAGGTGAAAGAGGGACAGAAGATGCTAAGTGTAGGTTACAGGCAGGCAGGGTCCAAATATGAATTCCCTTGTAAGTCAAGGAGCAGAGAATGGACTTTTTTCTGTGGGCCAGTATCACCAGGGTGTGTATATTCCTCAGGAACAATAGTCCCTTGAGAGGTCATGAGGTTCCACAATCAAATAAGTTGAGTCCATTCTGCATCTTATAACCCCTTTTTTTGAGATTCACAACATATATTAACTGATCAGGTCGCTAAAGGAGAGAAACATATTTAGTTTCATTTACCTCCTATGAAAAAATCTTTTATTTTCTAGTTCATCAAAGGAAGTTGCAAAATTCAAACACAGAACCTCACATATGGAATTGGTACAACATTGTTAACTAGGCTGATAGACCTTATTCAGTGTTTGCTGTTTTGTTTTGCATACACTGATTTGTGTATATAGTCCTATGCAATTTTATCTCCTTTATACGTTTATGTAGCTACTACCACAATCAGTCACGAAACTGTTCCATATCAACACAAAGCAACTATTTCATGTTACCCCATTACAGTCACATCCCTTCCCCTTCTCTGCCCCCTGGCACCGACAAACTGTTCTAACTGTTCTCTATCTGTATAGTTTTATCATTTTGAGAATGCTATATAATGGAACATCATGCAACCTTTGGGACTGACATTGTTCACTACACATAATGACCATGAGACCCACCCAGGATATTGTAGCGATAGTTTATTTGTTTTGATTGCTAAGCTGTATTCCATTGTATGGAGGTACCAGAGTTTGTTTAACCATCACTTGTTGAAGGATGCTTTGGTTATTTACATTTATTTACATTTTTTGCTATTCCAAATAATGCTGCTATGAACATTTGTGTACCATCATCTGTGTGAATCTAAATTTTCATTTCTCTGGGGGAAATGCCAGAGTGTGTGACTCCATTAAGTACATGCTTCATATTATAAGAAACTGCCAAAAATATTCTCTGGAGTGGCAGAACCATTTTATATCCTACTCATAGAATACAAGGAGCACTTTCCCTCCCTAATCACTTTGTCAGTCATTGTTTGCATCACTGTTTTTTTTTTAAAAATATATTTTATTGATTTTTTTACAGAGAAGAAGGGAGAAGGATAGAGAGTTAGAAACATCGATCAGCTGCCTCTTGCACACCTCCTATTGGGGATGTGCCTGCAACCAAGGTACATGCCCTTGACCGGAATCGAAACTGGGATCCTTCAGTCTGCAGGCCGACGCTCTATCCACTGAGCCAAACCGGTCAGGGCCACTATATCTTATTTTAGTTACTCTAATAGGTGTGCACAACTTGCATTTCCCTAATGGCTAATAATGTTAAACGTCTTTTCACATACTTACCCTCTAAATCATTCTTTGATAAAAATATCTTTAGCCCATTTTCTTAATAGATTGTTATTTTTTTTTTCATCTTTACTATGATTTTGTTGGTGTTACATGTTCATTATAAAACAAAAATAATATAAAATAAAAATAAAAACACAATCATAAAACATAGAAACTGAACATAGTTTGTAATCCATTCTTCACAGAGAACTACTTTCCTTTCCTTAAATTGTGAATACTAGTAATTGGAAAAAGAAATGTATAATCATGTCAGATACGCTGTTTTGCTCCTTTTTAAAATATGCATACTGGAGAATATGTTTATTGATTTTTTTAGAAAGGAAAGGGGAAGGTGGGGGGCGGGAAACATCAGTGTGAGAAAAATCTATTGGTTGCTTCCAGTAAGCATCCCGACCAGGGATTGAACCCACAACCTAGGTATATGCCTTGACCAGGACTCGAGCCCACCACCTTTTTTGGGGGTGTATGGGATGACACTCCAGCCAACTGAACCACCAGGTCAGGTTTGTTTTGTAACTTATTTTTAACTTAACAATATCCTTTGGATAGTCTTTCGTGTTAGTACAAATACATAAGGTTCTTAGAACAACTACTTTCAAATAAGTAATTTTTCATCCCAAAGAACTAAAATTTGCCAGTGTTGGTTTTGAGTTATGAAGACAATCTAGTACTGGAAAAACCTATGAATATAGCAATGTAATAATGATCATAAAAAATTAAAAATGAAAAAAAAATTTTAAATGTAAATGTAGTAATGACATTATAGTTATGTTTTTAAATGAAAGTCAGCGCTCAACCACTGAGCCACGCAGGCTGGGCAACAAATTAGAATTTAAAACTCAGAAAAATAAAACACAATCCAGTCTTGCTACAGTTTATTATCTGAAATGTTTATTTTCAATCACAAACTACTAGATATGCAACGAAATGGGAAAGTGTAACCAATAATCATGGGGGGAAAAAAGTCAGTAAAAATTTATCCTGAAGGGTTCGATACTGAACTTCACACACAAAGAAATCAAAGCAGCAATTATAAATAAGTTCAAATAACTAAAGGAAAATATGATGATGACGAATCAACATATATGGAATCTTAATAAAGTCACAGAAACTAAAAAGCAAAACAAGTAGAAATTATAGAATTTGAAAGTACAACCAAAATGAAAAACTGGTACAATGAGCCTGTCAGCAGATTTGAAAATGGCAAAAATAATCACAGACATAAAGATAAATCAATAGAGGGTATCCAATCCACAAGAGAGAGAAAGACAAAGTCTCAAAGTCCTGTGAGACAATATGGAGAGGTTTATTGTTTTAGCTCTTACGTTTAGGCTCGTGATCCATTTGAGTTACCTTTTATGGAAGATATGAGATAACAGTCTAGGTTCGTTTTGTTGTATATGAATGTCCAATGATCACAGAACTACTCCTTTCTTATTGATTTACCTTGACCCCTTTGTCATAAATGTGTGGGTTCTTTCTTTCTCATATAATTTTAAGCTATAAATTTCCCTCTGACCACTGCATTAGCTATAGTCCCTGATTTTTTGGTATACTAGCTTTTGTTTCCTTTCAAGTTATTTTCTGATTCCCCTTGTGCTTTTTCTTTAGGTTATTTAGAGTGTGCTGTTTAACTTCCAAATATTTGGAGATTTCCTCTTTTTCTTTCTGGTTTCTAGTCTTATTCTAATGTGATTGGAGAACATATTCTGTATTACTGCATTTCTGACCTCCAGGAAGATAACTGCTCTTTTGTGGTTTCCAGTGGTTTATAAGAACATAAAGGGCACAGGGGAAGACAGGTGGCAGAACCCCAAATCTGTAACAGTTGCAAGGGTACAAGGGAGGACTAAAACACAGAGCTCTACACCTGACAGTGGGGCCACCCACTCTATGCCCAAGTGCTTGAGCTCTGCAGGAGGACTAAGGACCAGGATGTCAAACACCCCAGGGTTCGTGTGTGTGACATAATGGGACGATGCCTGATATAGGACTTCTTACTATTTTGGAGAACGGGTGCTCAAAGCTTTATCTAATTTTATTTCGACAATCTAAGAAATATGATTGGGGAGGGGGGGAGAAGATAACATTGACAAAATAAATAGCATTGTAATGCAGAATGAGGAGAATTTGAAGTTGCATTAGTAATAAGTATATATATAATTATATACTTAGAAAATGGAAATATAATATTTATATCCAAGATAAACGATTGTGCAGAAAACAAAAATAATCATAGTATATAATACATAGTTCACACACACACACATATATGTGTACATATATATACACACACACATATATATGTACAGCTTTTGCATAGTCACAATAAAATATGACTAAAAGTTTTACAAAACTAAAAGTTTAAAAAAAAGTAAAACCAGCTGGCCAGTGTGGTTCAGTGGTTGAGCATCAACCTATGAACGAGGAGGTCATGGTTTATTCCCAGTCAGGGCACATGACTGGGTTGTGGGGTCGATCCCCAGTAGGGGGTGTGTAGGAGGCAGCAAATCAATGATGTTTCTCTCTCATTGCTGTTTCTATCCCTCTCTCTTTCTCTCTCTCTCTCTAAAAATCTATAAAAACATTAATAAAATTATGAGAAAATATTTAAAAAAATAATTCTGAAAACAGAATTCCTTGACAAGTATTAAAACCTAATAAAGCTACAATAATTAAAACAATATCACATTAGTTTTAACCACTGGATCAAAATGAAGTTTTCAGAAATAATCCCAAGTATTTTAGAATATAATGAAGGTAGTGATTTAAATCTAAAGAAAACATTTTTCAATAAATTGTCTAATAGTACCAAGACAATCATACTTGTCCTAATATCATACCAAGATAAATTCCAGGTTAACATTGGAAAACATAAGATAAGTAGACCTTTCTAAGAAGAAAAATGAAGGCAGAAAACAAAGAAAGATGTAGTGATTTTTAAAGACATCTACTTTTTATTTTTTGTTAATCGTCACTAGAGGACATTTTTTCCATTGAGTTTTTAAAAAATATATATTTTATTGATTTTTTTACAGAGAGGAAGGGAGAGAGAGTTAGAAACATCGATGAGAGAGAAACATCGATCAGCCGCCCCTCTGGACCAGGGCCAAGGATCGAACCTACAACCCAGGTATGCGCTCTTGACTGGGAATCAAACCCATGACCCTCCAGTGCACAGGATTATGCTCTAACCATTTAGCCATGTCAGCCAGGGCAAGATATCTATTTTTTCTAGTATTCTTTTTTTATTGTTATTAATCCTCAATGAAGGATATTTTTTCCATTGATTTCAGGGAGAGCAGAAGGGAGGGGGAAGGGGAAGAGAGGAGAGACAGAGAGAAACATCAATGTGAGAGACCCACACTAATGGGTTGCCTCCCTCAGGAGCCCCAGCTGGGACAGGGAACCTGCAACCCACATACATGCCCTTGACCGAAATCGAACCTGGGAACCTTTCAGGGCGTGGCTCAACACTAACCACTGTGCATGCTGGCTAGAGCTTATTAGTACTCTTGAGCACTTACTACATTGCTAGGATTAAACTAGGGCTGGATGTACTATGTGAGAGAAAGAGACAGAGATCCCAGTGGTTAAAAAGAGATAGAATAAATCATTACAAATTCACCCAAAAAAGTTTGAGCCATCCTCAACAACTCTTTTATACCCCACATCAGTCAGGAAATTGACTGAGCGCTACTTTCAAAATATATCCAAAAGCAAACCACTTCTCAGCACCTCCACTGGGTTACAATAGCCTCCTGGTTGGTCTCCCCACTTCTTCCCCATCCTACTAGTTTATTGTCCTTACACTCAATCACACCATGTCACTGCTTGGCTACAAGGCCTGTATTTCACTCCAGGTAAAAGCTAAAATCTTTACATTAGCCTTATAGAGCTCTCTGTCGTCACTCCTCCATCTGCTCCCTCCTTCCATTATTCTGACCACGCTCTAGTCTAGCCCTTGGCTTCCCTCCCTCTTCTGGAACGAGCCAGGCATACTTCTGTTTTAAGGCCTTTACCCCAGCTGTCCTTTTGCCAAAATTCCTTTCACCCATATATTCACCCAGCTAACTCTCTTACCTCCTGTAAGAGTTGGCTCAAACGAGCTTGACTACTCTTCTAAAAATTACAGCGCTCCACTCCCTCCCCACCCAGGCCTCTGGTACTCCTCATCTATCTCACCCTGTGTCCTACCTGTTCTTTCTTCAGTGGCTCTCATCACTTCTAGTATACTATACAACTTACTTATCATGCTTATTATTTATTTATCTAAGATGACTACACGATAACTTCCATGGGAAAGGATCTTTCTTTGTTTTGTTAACTGATATATCCCAAGACTCTGGTACACAACTGAAGCTGAGTAAAGGAATGAATAAATTTATCAGATAAAGCAGAGATTTATAAACCTAATAACACCCAGTAGTTGTACACAGCTGGTGGGAAAATAAACTGAATGGATAAAACTTCTAGAGGGTAATTTGTCAATATATACCTAAATATCTTGTTATATTAACACATTTTGTACCGCTCAGGAGTTTTCTCGTGTTTCGCGCGCCATCTGTTAAGGACCGCTCACGGGTATTCTCGTTTTTCACGCCCATGGAAAAAGAAGCGAATCTAGATACTTAGGTAAATTTTGTTTGGTCCATCTTCATAGAGGAAAATGTTTTACGCAGTACCATACATTAAAAAAGTACTAGGAACTTTAATTGTTTAATTGTTTTTGTAAATAAAAATGTTATAATTATTGAAAAACAACACCTAAAGTGCATTATGATGATTTAAATAACGTGCAGTTTGCCCAAAACTGTGTGGTCCCTGGCGTATGTCTTAGAGATTTCCATGTGGTACACAATGTGTTAAATAGTAGCGGCCCAGTGCATGAAATTCATGCATGGTCCCCTCAGCCCAGCCTGCACCCTCTCGCAAACTGGGACCCCTTGGGGGATGTCTGACTGCCTGCCTGCCTCATCGCCCCTAACCACTCACCTGCCTGCCTCATAGCCCCAACCACTCGCCTGCCAGCCTGAATGGCCCTAAACACTCTGCCTGCCTGCCCGTCCCTAACTGCTCGCCTGCTTACCTGCCTGATCACCTCTAACCACTCACCTGCCTGCCTGATTGCCCCTTCTTGCCTGCCTGTCTGATCATCCCTAACCACTGTGCATGCCTGCCTGATCACCCCTAACTGCCTCTGCCTCAGAACCAGCCACCGCAGCTTCATCCAGAAGGACGTCTGGAATGATGTCCGGAGGGTCGTTTGGCTGTCTGGTCTAATTAGCATATTATGCTCTTATTATTATAGATTAATTTAAAGCCTTTGAATAGTTCAGCCTTTTCATGAACTAATTCTAAGTACATAGTCTAAAAAATGAATCACAGATGCACTTCATGTAGCCATTACAAATTATACACATCTATACTTACTACTGTACATATTTGCTATAGTAACACACTTAAACAACAACTTAGGGTGTAGTAAGCCAAATCTTCTTAACCAGAGACTTAAATACAATTCCCCCTCTATCTTGGCAGGACTTATGGAATGGCGCACTGCCATTCAACATTCTTCATTAGTTCTACAATTTAAAACCCAATCAGAACAATGGCTATTATGAATTACTGGAGGCCCAGTGAACAAAAATTTGTTCACAGGGGGTGGGGGGTCCCTTAGCCCAGCCTGTGCCCTCTCACAGTCTGTGACCCCTTGGAGGATGTCAACCTGCTGGCTTAGGCCCACTCCCTGGGGGATCGGGCCTAACCTGGCAGTCAGACAACCGTCTGGCAGCCCAGGAGCCCTCAAGGGATGTCCACTTGCCAGCGGGGGCAGGCCTAAGCTGCAGTTAGACATCCTTAGCGCTGCTGAGGTGGGAGAGGTTCCTGCCACCACCGCTGTACTGGCAGCCGTCAGCCTGGCTTGTAGCTGAGCAGAGCGCCCCCTGGAGGTCAGTGTGCTCCCACAGGAGCTCACTGACCTCCAGGGGGCAGCTCCTGCATTGAGCGTCTGCCCCCTGGTGGTCAGTGCGCATCATAGTGACCGTCATTTCCAGTCGTTCTGCCGTTACGGTCAATTTACTTATTAGCCTTTTATTATATAAGGATGTTAAGCAGTTTTTCTTTAGAAATCTCAACCCATAGACCCATTTTTTGAGTTTCACAACAAAATTTACATAGTGATCTACCATCTAAAATTAATTTTATGATCCATCATATTTCAACTCAATCAGATACCCATTCAATTTTTTTAAGCAAATAATTGAAAACCATCAGACTT